TGGCTCTGTGACTCCCTTTTCATCGTAGGCTGAGTAAAAAAGCGACTGGTATTGAATAATGGCTACCTCAGTATATAAACTGAAGCAAAAAAATGGCGGCAAACATCTCTTCGGGGGTAAAATTTTCAAAAAAGGGAGACACATGAAATTAACGTCATTTTTGACTTTTTTATTTTTTTCAAACATGCATGTTACGCGGTTCTTGGACTGAAAAGGATGAACTTCTTCGTATTCCTAGACGACGACTTTGAATGCAAAACATTAACGCACTGACATGGCTCAATTTTGGTCGTGGTAAGGGAGGGTCATTCACAAATGGCAACGGGGGGACACATTTCCAAATTTCACTCAGGAAGCCCATTATGCTCCAAATGCCAGTTGTTGTGTTAACTGATGTATTTGCATGTGTTTTGTCAATAGTGGAACACTTTCATTTTTGATTAATGTTTTATGGCTTTATTAGTGAAGCTGCCACGCTAAAAAGTGGATAACGTTTTCAATTGTTCGTGTGGATCAAGAAAAATGTGCCACTAAAGGTAGATTCTTTAAAAATAAACACTGATTTAGACACAGTATTATTCAATATCTGATAATAATTTCATTCTGGTGTGAAAATCCACAACAGACTGCCTGCCTAAAACAAAGATTTCTTGTGACAATCCAACTTTCTATTTTGGGCGGGGTCAAAAATGCAGAAAAAACGGAACATATTCTGAGCTCCTTAATTATCAAAATGTTACTGTTTGGGGATAACTTGGAGATGAAAAGTCCATGAATTTGATATAAATTTCCCTCATTGAACTAGCCAGATTCATATGACATTAATATGACGCCAGGTGTCAACGAACGTATCTAAGGCTCACATCTCATTCAAGACCAGTTCAGTAAACTTCTCTCTGACTGCAGTAAAATCCCTGGCACTTAGTTTAAAAAGATCTGTCCTGCAATAATTGTCAGGTTGAGATTTATATTGCACCCAAGGAAGCCCTGTTGTCCACCTTATTCCTTATTCAGTGCTAGTTGTACAGAAGCCATTCCGAGGGATTCATTTGAGGCCTTATTTTATTAGCATCACTGGAGTCATCACAAACTTTTGTTGAAATCGTGGGACTGATTCATTATTTGGAAAGAAGCTACGACAATGGTTGCAACCAGTTCTCCAAAAAAGGAAACCTTGCAGAAAAAAATATCACATTTAAAGGAGCTATGTCAAGCCTAAGACAGTTTTCTAACTCGCCCAGGGCATTAAAAAATTATTTGTGCATCTATCATCTCCGAAATTCATTAGTCTAGAAAGTGTTCCTCTTTTACCGACAACGGACGGACACATCACCCCCTTAAAAACGTGTCTGCAAAAAAAAAAAAAAAAAAAAAAAAAATACATGTCTAGAAAGTGTTCCTCTTTTACCGACAACGGACGGACACATCACCCCCTTAAAAACGTGTCTGCCAATTAAAAAAATATATATACTACATCAAGACACATCCCAAAAAGCTTTCTTTAGGAAGGTTTCCCCTCTGCAAGTAGAATATTCATGTAAAAATGAAAATAAAAATTAATTTTGATGACGGAGAGACAAGCAAAAATAATCTGTATTTTTTAAAATACAGTGACAAAATTATTTGGTGACTTTTTATCGCTCAAGCCATTCATTTTAACTCTTGCTATTCATATACGATCGATTGGCAAAAGGCTCAGCGGCGCTCATACCCCCACAGCAGGCGCAGGTTGGTTCTGCTGCTGGAAGGAATCACCAAAGAGCACCACTCGCAGTTCGCTGGTCGACTCTGCGAAAGCTTTGTGCCAGACGAAGAAAACAGAACCACAATAAAGATGGCAGTGGAGGAACAACTTGCAAGGCTGGATGCGTACCTTGGAGCCCATTTGAACAGTCCACTAAATCTCACGCTCTTTACGATGCTAGTCATTCAGGATCCTACTATAACAGAGACTCTAACCACTGCCACTGCACTGTATGTTTTACTGACAAAATTGGTCACTGAGAAGGTTACTGAAAGAATTTCGCGCAAGGTTTGGGACCCCGACATCGAGTACAAGATTTCTCAGTTCGAGGACTACAACGACGGCCTGGCATTCCGGGCCATGAAGCGCCGCGAATACGAGCTGCAGTCGGACACCGTGGAGTGCCTGCGAGGCAAGTGCCGTGAGCTGGGCCTTCCCCACGAGGAGCTCATGTCTGCCTTCTTCACTGCGCGGTCCTGCCGGCGAGGTCTCTTCTCGGCCCTGGCCTACTCCTATCATCACCTCAGACTCCAGGAGTTCTACACCGCACGGCACCTGTACCGGAGCATCGTGCACTCACAGAATGCGGAAGAAGTCATCCACTCGTACCTCGCCGAGTCCGTGGAATGGAAGTCAGAACAAAGATTTCAGAACGTGCTGGTCCATCTGACGGGACTCATGGCACGCCACAGCGAACACCTGGCCCACGTTCCTGGCCTGCTGAGCCAGGCGCACATGCCCTCCACCGCGGTGGACCCACTGCTGGCCCACGTGGTGGAGGCGGGGTTGCACCCGCTCGTGGTGCAGGCCGCCGCCGCAGAGCTCCAAGCCCACTGCGAGGAGTGGGATGGCTGGGTGCAGGTGAAGAACCCAGGCAGCCTGAGTGCCTTGGCGCCGGTCCTCGACGAAGCGCCGGAGTGTGTGAAAACACTGGCGCTAAAGGCGTCCTCACGGAGTCCTGCGGACGAGTCCCTGACGGCCGCCTTCCGCGCACTCTCACGAAAGGACGTCCGCCTGGTCCTCGACCTCCCGAACTTCTACTTCAGCGATCAGGATTTATCGATCACTGACGAAACCTTCCATTTGATTTCGGCGGCCGGCGAGACCTGCTGCCTGGAGGGCTTCCGCGGCCGCCTCACGCCCTCGGCGCTGCGCCTGCTGCCGCGCTGCCTCAAGGAGCTGCGCCTGCGGGTCGACCTCCGGCACGTCCTCGTGCTCAGCGACGTCCTGCCGCGCCTTCCCAACTTGGAAATTCTGGGTAAGTGATTTCGTGCCAAAAGGGGCTCATGTGAGGCCGCAGTGCACGAGGCCCTTTATTAGCCTTGGTCCTTTTTCTAGGGGCAGCGATGGAGGATGCGCGCGCGCGCACACACACACACACACACACACACACACACACACACACACACACACACACACACACACACACACACACACACACACACACACACACACCAAACCAGCAGCCGCAGTTTAGTCAGCATTCTGAATGCTTACGAAGACAAACTGAATAATAATAGGAAAGTTGTTCTGTGTTGTGCTGCGTGTTTTATGTTTTAGCGTCCTTTCGGCAAATGTATGGGGGCTGAATGGGATAGCACAGCACTACAGGTGTGAGCTAAACCATTTTAGCATCCTGTGATAAGCCATTGTATTTCGTTCTTAACCCGGCATTCACTCGGCTTTGATTCTCTAGCCAGTACTGTGCAGCCAGTCATCCTTTAGTGGCTTTGGGTCGCGATGAATTAGTTGGGCTTTGAAGAAAATGAATCGTCTGAAAAAGGTACGGATGAGTGTCGTAGTATCACTTCCTTCAGGTTTGAAATACGAGGATCCCGAACGGTACGAAGTGGCCCTTCTGCCGCCGCTTCCCTTCTCTCACCGTAAACTGTGCTTCACCTTCACCCCCTTTGTGACGGACAGCGAGGACGACCTGCAGTGGGCGAGCGGGACCCTGGCCAGGCTGTGCTCCCAGAGGCCGAGCGGGAACTGCGCCAGCATCTTCTTCAAAAACACAAGCCTCACGCGTAGGTGGTCACTCACTCACATTTTTTGATGGTCATGGTTCATGTTCTTCCTGTTCGCCAGGCGTGTTTCATTTTGAGACGTTTTTCATTTGAATCTGAACGATTGAAGTGTAGTAAATCCGCACTTGTTCCACATTACATCATGAGTATGCTATGATCCATTTTACTTTGTTGGTAAAGAATCCATGCTGACGCCCTGGCGCGGGCGCTGCAGTGTCCATTTACCTCTAGATAAACCTATTCCTCAACAGAAACGGGCATCAGGAGGCTCTTCGAGTTGCTGCACGAGAAGGGCGTCAGCGTGTCGCAGCGCCTGGATATCAGCCTGACGCAGAGACCGCGAGACAACGCGGAGCTCAGTGACTTGGCGTCTTCGCTTGGTCTCGGGAACTTCATCTGCCACTCGAGCGCGCAGACGGCCATAATGTGAGCCTTGCCGCCAGGCGACGCACGGCAGCTTTCAGATTTCCATTAACCTGACTCAGATGTCTGAAGAAATGAATACCGACGCACAATACACATGCCAGCCGGTTAAGTCTGGCACTGTACATCGAAGTTTTAGAGCCGAGAGCGATGCCTGGAAGATGCCGAAGCGCATGATGTGGACGCGATGGATTCAAGGAAAGAGAAATCACTGAGTGAAAACTGGACACCTGGTAATGCTCGTTACAATGATGACGTGATTTTAACAGAGTAGACAAGTCTTCAATAGTGAACAAATGCAGGGCTAGTAATTTCATAGCTGGATTAGCTATACCAATATTTTGCATTGAAAATAAAGTAAGTACACACAGACACACATATACGTATATATACATAGATGCGTGCGTATACACAAAGACATACATATATATACACACCTATATGCTCAAACATTTATATACATATACGTACATATACATAAACATAAATATATATATATATATATATATATATATATATATATATATATATATATATATATATATATATATATACGTATACATAACCATGTATAATATACATATACGTGTACATAAACATATACATACACATGTAAATGCATCAATACATACATGAACACACATAGACCACATATGCACAATGCTGGTAAACTCACTTGGCAGAGGTTATGAGTGTAAAGTAAATCATTCCAAGCAAAATATTTTTTCACGCATTTCCAGCGTTGTTTTTTCTAATGTAATGTATTTTGTTATAATGTATATGTAAATATATTATTTTATCTTTTGTTCAGCGTCTTATTGTAGATTCTTCACGTCTTCTCTATTAGGAGAGAGCAAGGAGACCAACCACTCCTTTTCTGTGCATTATTGTTAATTTTAGTAGAAAAAAAGAAAAGGTGAAAAAATGGTTAATGGTTTATGGCTGACACAAGTAACAATGCTAGACATCAAAGGTCATATAGCATTATGGTAAAGTAATTTGTCGAAAAGGGTAAAGAAGAGTTAAAGATTAGGATAAGATGTCCAAGACGAGAGAGCGTTATAGGATAGTATGGTCGCGAAAAGGCAAAAGAGAGGAGCAAGTGAAGTAAAGGAGAGATTATTAAAAGAAGTGTTCCCTGGGGTCATCTTCAGAGGCTTCCGTGGTGGCATGGGGGGCGGGGGGTACCCGCAACCCCTGCAACCTGAATGCCCCCCCCCCCCTAATGGTCATTCACCTTTTATATACGTAATATTTATGTATCAATATTTCTATATTAATATATATCTATATATAAATATATTATATCTATATATCAATATATATTTATATGCAATGAAAAACACAATACCGTGTTGATAATATGGAAGAAAAACCCACAATGCACAAACTAGATTTATTGAGGAAAGTGACTTTCCTCAATAAATCTAGTTTGTGCATTGTGGGGTTTTCTTCTATATATTTATATATTAATAAATAATACACACAGCAAGATGAAAACAAAATGTGTAATTGTACAATATAAATACTGAAGTGGGCAGCCTTAATTTTTGTTACTTTTGGGCGACATGTGGAAGATGGAGTATAACGGAGAGGTGGACAATAAGGCTGTAAGGTAGCATTAAGGGAGGATGGGGTGACTGATGAAGAAAGCTGTGAGGGGTAGAGGTGATGAAGTTGAGGAAGTTGGGAGAGTAGGAATGTCTCCGGGAGATCGAGTCTCGACTTGGGTGGATAATGTACCAATAGGCATTGAAGAGTGGGTAGTAATTGCAGTGTTCAGAGTCATGATCAAAGGAGAGCCTGGGGTCGGGGAACCTGGAGAGTTTGAATTGGTGGGGCTATTTGATGAAGGGGCAAGCCTCATTGCCCCAACAAGGTATAACGTCTTCATTATTGGCCATAGAAAGCCTAGACTATGTTGGGGAAAAAGTCCGCCCCTCAGGGTCCCTTTGAGGGGTACGGGCTAGACAACTAAACAGGGGATACTGTGACCATGGCTCTCTCAGGCCTTTCAGGATTGGCACAAGTCAGCCTTTCATCCTTTCAGCACGGCGCTTACACATCAGGAAGTGGGTAGTAGAAGGGACAGAATCGAAAAAAGGAGCGGGAAAAGACCGTTCAAAATTAGTCGAGTCAAGGGCTGAGGCCCAAGGTTGGGGAGATCCCCAGCATTGGGTCCCAGTCCTCATCTCCTAAGCCCCCCCCCCACGACGACAACGTAAGAGATGGGGGGGGGCTTTGTGCCAGTCCTGAACGGCCTTTGTACTCTGCCCTCTTTACCCTTTTCACTACTAACCTACAGCGCTCTGCAACCTTTGACATATTTTGTCCTATCATCAACTCATTTATACCCTTCTCGCCACAATATTTTGTCAGTGCTACATGACCTTTCCTTACTTAGGGGTTTCATTAAATTAAAGCCTAATTTTGTACTTCAAGATAAGAGGATTTCCTGCTAAGTTATAGAGCAAATGTAAGCAATCTCCAAAGAACTAACAAATACGCAGGAAAAAATTAAAGCCTTCTAACAAGACCTTTCTTGAAGTTGTCTGAATGCCATGGCAATAAAGGAAAAAAGAAAAGACAGAAAAAATGGCAAAATCCAACAGTAAATAATTCACTTAAATACCTTTTGTGCATTTCACATACAGGAGGAAACCACAAAATAGATGTAGCAATTTCCCAATGGCATGTAATGAAAATGACCTGTTCTGCAGCTTCATTTCCAATAAACTTGCTATGAAACTAAATACAATTGAACGTCAATATGATTTTAACATTAATAGGGCATAAGGATATCTTGAAGAAAAAGAACTAAGGTTGAAAGTAAAAGACACATACACCTCGAGATTTATTTAAGCAATGAACTCATAAGGCAGTGGCGTGAGGAATTCAGGCTTGTTTTTCGTGATGTTGACCCTGTGTGCAGAGCGGGGCAGGGCAGGCTTACGCTTGAGCTCTCCCTTGGGAATCTTGACTCCAGCCTTCTTGGCTTCGATTCTGCGTTGTTCATTTTCCTTGATGCGCTTCTTGAAGTCAACCTGGCAGTTGGAGTGCTTGAGGTGCTCAATACGTACGTTCAGCCTGGGGAGGATGGCAAAAGGTAAATAACACGTCCAAGTAATCTCCTGTAAGTTGGTGCTTTAACATTCAAGGTTTGTTTTAAAAAAATCAAATTCAGAATAATCATAATCTGTTCCAATTAAGAAATGCTTCAGAAAATAGAATATGCTTTATGTGCAAAGCTTTTATAAATTTGGTACTCACTTCTTGGCCAGGATTTTGCCCTTGACTCTCTTGTTGACAATGACACCAACAGCATGCTGGGTCACGTTGAACACACGCCCAGTCTTTCCATGGTATGCCTTGTGGATGAGACCCTTCTGGAAGGCTCCATTGCCCTGGGAACAAAGGAAAACTCTTGTTATTCTGGGTGAACACTTCAAAATGAAATCAATTTAAATCTACCACAAACTTCTAAGGTTCAGAACATACTTGTACAGGAATGTATTTTTGTGGATCTTTATAAATTCCAGTAATAAAATCTAGCCACAGGGAATTCACTACAAAACATGCAATTGAATTGCCTGAACTCGAACTCCTCACAAAAAGCAAGATGAAATTGGGGGGAAAAAAATTCCAACTAACCTTCAAGTCAACAAGGTCGCCAACTTTGTACACTCTCAAGAAGGTGGAGAGATGTTCTACACCATTCTTCTTGAAGCCACGCGCAAACATGTTGCGCGTGCCGCGACGCACACCCTTTGAATTAGTCATTTTGGCTTATTTTCTGTAAAAAGGAAAATTACTTTAGAAGAGGTCAAATACTTAGCTAAAAATATAAACACATACTCTTGAAACAATTCAGGAGCAAGACAAGACACTCCTTAAATTAACAAGACAAGCAAAGACTCCAGACAAAATAGTTGAAATATATGAAAGCAAATTTGGCAAGCGGAAGTACAACTTTGGGTGTATTAAAGAAGGGCAGTGGGTGTTTGCCAGGGTTTGCCATCAATCAAGACGGCTTTTTCTTGTCCCGGTAGCCTCCAGAGACAAGATAAACAAATAAGACGGCTTTTCTTGTCCCGGTAGCCTCCAGAGACAAGACAAAGAAACGATCCTCGGGATCATTAAAGAAAAAATTGATCCGGGAACGACCATAATTAGTTGGAAGGCATATAAATGTCTTCAAAACGAGGGATTTCAACACCTCACAGTGACCCACTCCATTAATTTCGTGGACACTATCACAGCCACTCACAAGAATACTATTGAAAGGAGGTGGAGAGAGGCAAAGCGAAAGTTCCCCGCTATGGCAGGAGAAAATACCACTTCATGGGCTATTTGGCTCGGGCAATGTTTCAGATGAACATCCCCGAGACCAACAAGTGTCTGCACGAATTCCTCCTTGCCGTAGCTCACCTGTACCCACCACACTAAGGTGTGTAAAATGTATTACGGTAAATCGTGTTTAAGAGGTGGTTTGAAGCAGAGACCACTACTGCTGAATCAGAGTGAGTGGCAAGGGAAGCACGGCCACCGGGAGGGGGTCAGAGGGTGTGGCCCCCCGGGTTAGAAAGGTTTTTCGTTTTTTTCGGTATGGTGATAGGCTAGGGAAGCATGGCGACTGGGAGGGGGTCTGGGAGTGTTGCCCCGGGATAGGAAGGTTTTTCGTTTATGGCCCCCAGCTAGGGACAACTAGGACTATAACTCGTGCGATTCTTGGCACAGGTTTTTTTTATTTTTCACTTAATTTTTGTATTACCGCTTGTTTGTGATCATCTTCATATTTACTCACCCAGCCCCAAACCCCAGCTCCCCATGGGATCCCCCAAAATTGTTGGCTGGAGTCAGGGACTTAGTCGTTGATAAACATTTACTTGTCTATTTTCTATAAGTTGGCATGAAGTGCTAATAAAGGGGGGGTACAAGAAGGCTTGCCTCCCTGTCAAGAGAATAAACAAGGTAGGAAAGATTAGGTTAGCTTTTGGGTTTGCATGATACCCTTGTTTTGGAACTTATTCTCTGAAGTGTGTATCACTATTGGTAACAATTACCTCGTCTATAACAAGACTGCACTGGCAAAGGAAGCACTGCAATCAGTAGGGGATTCAGAGTCATTATATGGAAATTCAAATTCATAGATGCAGCTGGGGCTAAACTAAAAAAATTTCCGGAATACCTTCGCATACCAACTGCAATGATATATGCAACTATGGATTCCTCTTCCTCTCTACTATTCAATGCCATAGAACCCCTCTCCCCTCATTCACAATAATCCTGGTCCCAATAGCAGGGGAGGACATGAAAGGTAACTGATGAATTGCAGAGTAAAATATGAATAATACACAGAATCGGTCACTAGGGGGAGGTTGCAGGGTGCACAGCCCCCGCAACCTCCCTCCTTATGGGCTGCCATCCCCCAACCCTCACAATGGAAGGCAAGGAATATTCCACGTATTCACAACAGGAGAGAGCTTAAGACTGCCATATGGATGGGAGCTCCTGAGGCAATTGATACTGAGAGTGACCTTCCAGAGACTAAGTCCTAAAACCTGGGTATCATGCAAACCCAAAAACCTCCTCCTGTACCCCTATTTATTAGCACCTTGTACCAACTTATAGAAAATAAGACATTAAGAACCTGGCTGCATAAGAGTGTTGGGGATTCAGTTTCTGAATGGTAATATGCAGCATTTTCGTTATATCGCTGTAAATACGAAGTCGCTGCAGCTGTTATATTTCTTGTGCTCTATAAATTGGTGGTTTTCATTTTCTCCCTATCTGTGCATCACATTCAGTAACTTACACTGCTCCTAATGCCAGGTGTCCTATATTATCCTGTCATGAATATATGGGTGGGGGTTGGGAGGTGACAGCCCCCAATGGGGGTTACATTAAGTATATAATGACAGTGTATTTCTTTTAACTTCCCTTGTAGCATTCATGCTCTCCCCTGATATCTGGGCCATGCTGTAGGTGGAAGGGGGGGGGGGGGTGTTCTATGACAATATATCTGGATTGTAGAGCGGGGAATCCACCACTACAAAATCATTGCTATTTTGCAAAGGGACTGAATAATTACCAGGCAAAAGTTACCAAAGGTGACAGATAGGGGGAAATTGACACCATCTTATAGCACACATGGAATACACAACACGTACATTTGCAGCAACCTCATTTTCCCGTAAATGACAAATATTCACTGCATATCACTGCTCAGAAAATAAGTCGACACAGCCAGAGTATGTCCATTTTCAATTTCTCGCTGTTGGGAGTACATCACATGTGCACAAACATTTCTGTGTCCACCCCCTTGTTCGTCTCGCCACACACACGCAGAAAACCAATCAGGGGCTTTTCTACCGTACTCATCATTGCTTCCAAATACAAAATACCTTTCATTGCATCACCATTATTTTCCTCAAACTCCCAAGTCCTTTATATTAGAATATCTACCGAGCAGCCTTCTAGGGAGTGGTTCCTCTAGCCTGCACCTCCAGACAACCCTTTCAATTCCCTAAACGCAAGTGAAAGCCCCAGGCACGGCGTCCCCTTTCCCTCTGGGCTGACAGGCCGCGCAACCAACACGCCAAAGACGACCTCTCCACGGGGACAAAATTCTCTACGAGCAGTCTATACTTGCTAAGCCTCGCATGTGGAAATACAACGTCCAGTTCACTCTAACGGGTCCGACTCCCACGTGAGCCTTTCGAAGCCGCTCTCGAGTCGGGCGCCCTCCCTGCCCCTCCAGCACGTGTCTGGGCCGCTCGGGACGACAAATCAATTTCCTCTTGATCACACTGGGTCTGCAAACTATCCTGTCACGAGACTTTGCCTTCTCAATTGCCCTCGTGCTGGAACTGTCATGGAATCTTATGACAGAAATCCATTCGACTTCGAAATGTGGTGCACGAAAAACATCAACAAAGCGGCAATCCCCTATATCAAACCCGAATTTCTCGCTGAGAACACTTTTCTGGCCCATGGAATTAGTTCGGCACTTAACACTAGGGTCTTCCTACGTCTTGTGTGACTCCCAGTCCAACCTCAGAGAGCGCGAAGGAAGAGAAAAGGGCGAAAACAGTGAGGCTCCGCGGCCGTCAACAAACACTCACACGCTGAAACGGGAAAGAAGGATCCCCCTGGCGGCCGGACCGAGAACTACTCATGTGCTACAAACGCGACGCAAATCCACTCCTCTTGAATATTTTAATATCAGATATAAGTTATATCTATTGCATGAATATGCTTATATAAAAATGTATTGGAATGTATAAAAATAGCGGATAAATCTGTCGTAAATTTTACTCTTTGCGGCGGTGTGGATCCGCACCGCGGCAGACGTTGACGCCCGAGGTAAACCATCCAGCTGATCTCCGCAGGAAAGAAACATATATTTCGTCCTTCAGCATTTCCTCCCTGTTCTCAAGGACGAAAATCCGACCAATCTGGATCTCCTCGGATATTGCAAGATGGTGAGTACGCGCGTGCAGTCGACGAGGTTTGTAAGAGTGGAAGTGGCCCTAAAACGGAGCTAACGGGAAGGGCCGACCCTCGCCCTCCTGTCACTCAGCGCCCGAGTAAACAAGCAACCAAGAGGTAAACAAGAACAGGAGGAAGGCTGCAAACAAGTGCAAAAGTGACTCGCAAATCCCATTATACGGTGGCAGGCCTTAAGAGGCCTGGAGAACTCGGGCTGTGACGCTGGGGCGCTAGGAACGCCTCCTCTCAACGCTATTTCGCTCGAGTGTCTCTCCCATTGATTTTATTTTGATTTAAGCGCTAACAACACTTCATTGACATCTTCAGAGGAAAGGCTTTCAGAGTTCCGATGGTGGTGATATTTTTTTCTTCTACTTTCTCAGGAATTGAGGACTATTTACCCTCACCTACTTCTATTTATGTTGTTCAGAATGTAATTTTGAACATGTAAGAAAGTAAATGCTACAGTGGTATTAAGGAACAGAAATGACACTCACTGCTTTATAGACTCATCTGTGTGAGTGAAAACTAACAAAGTATTCAGGTTATTTTAGAAGGGGTATTTGCAGTGACTTCAACGCTTCACTTATGAGAGCTGTTCTGGAAAGTGTCATGTGCTGATGGGAGATATTTTCTTAGCAACCATGAACACACTGGGAATTTCACATTCGTTCCCTGGAAGTCGCACAAGACAATTGCTATATTTTGTAGAGTTACATGAACTTCTGAGCTTTACATAAGTGCACCTTGACTTTTTTTCCATTATTACGGCATTTGCTTCTGATGTATCATGCTCAATACGAAGCAACCTATTCAACTATTGTTTAGTCTTTTTCTTTTACGTATACCACTCAAAAGCATAACAATTCACTAGCAAAATATGACACTAAGAATGAAGTGGCACACTATAAACTGTCCTGATTTGTTTCATCAAGAATTCATTATTATGTAGCACTTGTTGAGACAGACTATTCCCTAAGGTCTTCTTTTGTAGTTAAATAGCTTTATGTTGGTCTGGTATGTTTGTAAAAGGTTAATAAGTTAAGTAGCAGCTGTATAAAGCAATTTCAAGTTGGCACTTAGACTAATTGAACTGAATACCCCAAACAGGGTATGATGATGTTCTTTTGTGAAAACTTCAGAAGCCTTCTGAAGACTGGTCACAGGGGAGGGGATGAATGATGTTGGTTAATGGTGAAAAATTTAAGTGGTACAGGAATTTTATAAAAGGCTACATAAAATGCTTGAACACCAGAAATACAGGATATTCCTAAAATGTATCTCTTTGCATTATGTAGTTTTAACTCCATTTTTGTGATTATCAGAACTAAAACATGTTTTAAAAATTGATTTGTGCTAGCCACCTCTTACATTTTTGGCCAAATTGGTAAAAAAAAAAATCCTCCCTAAACCAAAAGGAAGAATGGAAAGATGCATGCACTTGAGTCATTTTCTTAATTAAAGATTAATGTTAACCATCCTTAATATAGTCTGTACCAAGACTGTCAAACTCTTACCCTATCCTAGCTTAAGGGGGCTGTTGTGCTGAATATTTGATGACTATTAAAAAAAGTACATGAAAAAAAAAATTGGGGGGGGGGGATCCTGTAATATAATAGGCTTTGGCAATCCTGCAACATAATATTTCTGCTAATATGTAAATATAGAGAAGTTATGACTAATTGTCTGATCCCTTTGCTTCCCCTCTGATTGCTGCTGTATCGTGTTCGTGCAAATATACTTGACTAATATTTCTGCAATTTTTTTGATTTCTTAAAAAAAAAAAAAAAATAAAAAATAAATAAAAAAATAAATCAAAGTCTGACATCACAAAACTACACCTTTGCTAACATTTTTTTTTTTTTTTTCTTTCCTCTCTAACTACTCAGGTGATTCTAATGGTTTTTGGAGCATCATTTGAAAGCTGAATAAATTTGTGATTTTTTCAATGAAGCAATTTTCATATCAAATATCAGTATACGTATATATAACATATTAAAAAATTGCGGAAATCCAATCATAATTGACAAATTTCATTCTAGATCGTTAATTTATTAAATGTTGGATTCCCCAACATTGTTGGTGGGAGTCAAGGACTTTGTCTCTGATGGGTGCGGTCCTATTGTAAACATTTACCTTTATTTTATAGCTATTATCATCATTATTAGTATTTTATGAGTATGATTATTGTTATTATAACAATGATTATAGTGAAATCTCCAAAAAATTATAGAATGGGTAAATAAGTGAAATCAGGTAGACCTAATGTATTGAAAGCAGGGGTTTGCTTGGTCAAGAATTTTTGCTCTGAGGCCAAGAGCTGCACCGTTTGCTGCTTAAAACTACTGCTAGAGCCTGAGACCCGCACGAATGGCCCTATTGAATGTCAAACCTGAAAAATTCTACATTTAAACTCAAGTCTCTTCCACAATAAACCTTTTAGATAAATTAATCTATCCTAACATCTTTACACAGCATAATACTTTCTCCTGTATGCATATATAATGCATACAGACACACACTTTTAATTAGTAACCCATACATTCTGATGCACAATCAAAACAAATGAGCATCACTAAGTTAAAATATTGGCCTACCCATTTCCAGTTATATAATATTATGAAGTTGAAAGTAATATTCACTGAATATAATATCCACAAAAGAATGTTTCTTTTTCATTAAATAGGAGGTATATTCATGATTAAGAGAGACGAGGAGTTTAAAAGGAAGGGATGAATTATTCATCTTATAATGATTTATGAGAAGAAAAAAAACTTTTTCATTCCCATAATCTGCATAATCTCCTTTCACCATAAGTTAATGTAAATTTCTTTGAATATAATGTTATGGAAATTACATGAACAGAAACCATGAAAAATAATTTCTCAGATAAGATATTAAGTTGAGTTCTTGACCAACGTTGGCATTTGAAGATGTGCAACCAGCACGGTTTGCAAATGATGCTGTTGCCATGGTGATGGTACACCGCTTGACTTAGCAATCGAAAGTCTAGCCATCAACGGGGGTTGCTTGAGAAAACAAGAAGAAGTCTTAAGATTTTAGGCAAGAAATTTCCCTGCTTAAATTGCCCCTAGTAATTGTGTTCTTGTTGGGTGATTGTTTCTGGAACCATCTATATATAACAATATTACTGAGAAATCTGCCATGGAGTTAAGAACCCAAGTTCTAGACCAACTGCCAAACATTTTGTACATGATGCAAGGTTTTGCTGAAAAATGCCACACTCCAGCACGGCCAGAGAAGCTAACAAGCCTCCACCATGCATATTCTGGCAAGGAAGACCTCCTTGGGTAAAGAACGATCCACACACTATTTTTCTCAGGGATCCATTGTGGAGATTTGTTAGCTTTGCTGAGTATGAAGCAGAGATGCATTTGTGTTGTTTGATGCAGCCCTAGAGGGGACAATTACCCATTCTTCTTGTGAGGATGTTAAAGATCAAAATTGGGCAATATAAAACAGAATTTTTTACAGAGGATAATATCAACTAATGAAAATAAAATCACTAGTTGAAAACATTGCTGATAAAGATAAAGCAGTTTTCGTACACCTTCCTTATCAGTGATCTTCCACAGCTGAGGGAACCTGCATGTAGCATGGTAATTATGGACTAGTTATTTGTAGTCTGTCATATTTATTAGGGTTTTTAAACTTTTAATAGTTATTTATACTTTCAGTAGAATTAGGAATGAAGGAACAGAATGGTAGCATTGTGATTTGCCAGTAGGGTTCATTACGATATGTGTTTTAAGTTTTTGTTTTAGGTTTTATGAATTTCCACTAAGCTCAGAAATGCTGTATGAAAACACATAGTGTAGGCAAGTGAAGTTCTCTCCATCTTCCTCATCCTCATCCACATCCACATCCAGGTCCTTCTCATATGCACATCATCACCCATTTGCTCAGCTTTCACCTGCTCCAATTTCCAAGCAGTTATGCACACAAAATACATTTATGCACAAAATTATCCTTGTCCTGGTCTTCATCCACATCAATATCCACATCCTTCATCTTCTCCATCTGGTCCTCTTCCTCTTCCTCCTCCTCCTCTCCCTTCCTCTCCCTCCTTTTCCTCCTCTCCCTCCTCCTCCTCCTCCCCTTTCCTCCTCCTCCCCTTTTCCTCCTCCTCCCTCCTCTCCTCCTCTTTCCTCCTCCTCCTTCCTCCTCCTTCCTCCTCCTCTTCTTCTTCCTCTTCTTCTTCTCCTCTTCTCTTCCTCTTCTTCTTCTTCTTCTCTTCCTCTCTTCTTCCTCTTCTCTTCTCTTCTTCTTCCTCTTCTCTTCTCTTCTTCTTCTTCTTCTTCTTCTTCTTCTTCTTCTCTTCTTCTTCTTCTTCTTCCTCTTCTCTCTCTTCTTCTTTCTTCTTCTTCTTCTTCTTCTTCTTCTTCTTCTTCTTCTTCTTCTTCTTCTTCTTCTTCTTCTTCTTCTTTTCTTCTTCTTCTTCCTTCTTCCTCTTCTTCCTCTTCCTCTTCTTCCTCCTCCTCCTCCATTTCCTTTTCCTTTTCCTCTTCCTCTTCCTCTATCTACTCTGCCTCCGCATTTTCATGATATCAGAGTTAATGAACATCTGTGATGAAAATACTTGACTGATAAGGGTGCCATGCCTATATTTGTCAAGTCATTATTTTGTTCTGTATTTAGTTTAGAGAACTAGACTCTGAAATGCTAAAAATAGAATATAATTAGTATTCATATGATTGCATGAATCCTTATTTTGATATTTAACCCACGTACGACGGGTGTCCCACATGTGACACACCCAGAAAGAAAAAATGGCCAGGCATCCTGCCAGTGTGATGCTGTATTGGGGCTTGCACTCTGACTCAGTGGTGGGCCGCGGCTGGCGAGCAGGTAGAATCGGGGCCAGCCCCGCGCTCTGATTTTGTAGCCGCCCGGAAACTTTTATTTTCGGCTTCAGAATATACTGGCATTAGTGGGTTAGATTCTAGAAAACTATTCATTATTTGTCACAAGGAAAGTAAATTTGAAATAAGGACTGTGCAGAGATAGAGAAACACTAATAGGTAAACATAAAGAACACACATAAAAACACTATAAGCTTTAGAAAATCATAGACATAGGAAGGTATCTTGAGGGGTGGCAAAGTTGGCGTCCCCCAAAAATGGTTGGTGGTGCAGAGGCAGTGACCCAATGGGAGAACAGGGAAAGGCCCCCAGAAGCTCCTGGATTTTAATATTTTCAAAGGGATACTCCGTAATTTCTGTACTAAAATATCCGACATTTTTATTTTCATATTTGACATGATGGTTATTTCATTTTAAGCACAAGACTCGGTCGTAGGTTCCCTCTCAGTTGCAGGTCAGTGTTCACTACAATTGGGTAACTAAGGAATTGCACAGTTTGTTTGTTTACAAGGAATGTCTCCGAAAGTTGAGGAGTGGGGGTCCCGCTCCCCTCCATTCTAGAGTGGGGAGGGTTGCCTCCCATTTCCTATGCCTATGAAAATAATTGCAGAAAGTCAAAGTAAGACTGCAGTTGGGAATGAAAGATAAAGCCACCTCTTGTCCAGACGTAGTAGGACAAAAAAAAACAAGAGAGGAAACAGTTTACTATGTCAAGGCAGGGCATATTGGCATTCCGAGAAGCATCACACATTAGAAGTCATTCTTTGTTCTGAAAATCGTGCCATGGTATATGCATACCCATATTTATAAACATTCCCCCCCCCACTCTCCAAATTTTGTTAGACAACTCATTTGTTAGAGTATGTTTACTTTTAGATTACCTGCTTTTGAAACAAGCACAAAGACTTTTGACTATTTACAAGCAGCATTTTTTTTGTCACATGATGGAAATAGCAAACCCTAGTTAAAGAGCCTGTAGGGTTACTTGTGTCCATTTGTGTCAGGAGGTATATCCAAGAAAGGTTTTTATGCTATTAATATTAATATTATTGACATTATGATTATTATATTATTATTAGAATACTAATAGCAGTAGAAAATAAAAAAGAATCCCCAAAAATGAAGGAAAAGGGTAAATAGGTAGGACTAATTATTTACTCCTTAGTGACTATGTATATACCTGTGAAGCCATATAAGTGTAAGAGCAATTAATAAACTAATGTATGGAGGAAATACATTCTGTGTCATGCCAGCCACAACAATTAGTTTAACCCAATGCTGCCAGTTACATGTCCTGTTGATAGCAGTTTTCTCTTGGAAATTTTACACAAGGATGGTTCCACATGTCCTCAGCCACCAAGGAGCCATTTAGTATGCCAACGTAACCTTATCAGATTAAGACTTTCCTCAAGTTTGTGGGATTTTTTTTCTATTACTATTGATATCAGTGTTATGATTATTGTTATTATTGACATTATGATTACTAACTGTAGTTACTGATAGCAATAAAGAAAATGAATATTTCCAAAATAGGACTAGTAACTGACTACTTGGTGATTCAGCATATGTGGAGCCATCTATGTGTAAACACAATTGATGAAAAAACAGTGATGTGATCTGTCTTTGCCATCCCAGCATCAGTGGGTTAATTTACTCTGATAACTATATCTATTTTTTTTGTGTGTGTGTGCAATTGCAAGTAACAGTTACCAATAATTTATAGAACATGGAATTTGCTTGTTAATGTTAGATGATGGTTAAAAAAATGTAATATGTGCAATGTACATTGGTGGTGGTTCAGAAATCAAGGTACTTAACTCAAGGCAATAACAGAAATGGCCACCTTAGTTCCATCCATTGTTGATTTTATTACTAATTCTTACTTGAAGAGTTGTTAATTCTAATTGGATGTATTCCAATATATAAGAAAAAGATACAAATTATAGATACCTGATAGATGAGAGGGATATATGATTTGTTTGTATTAGGTATGTGGTGGTAAACACTAGAAAAAGAAACTATTGGAGGTTGTAATATATAATGGAAACTATTGTGAGCAATTGTCATATTTCTTTCCAGGGCGCTAATGCCTCACAGCTGGAGAAGGAGATCGGGGCAGACCAATTCCCTCCTAATGAACACTACATAGGCCTTGTAAATGTAAGTGCCTCTATATTACATGCCTGAATATCATTTTGATTGTGTGTAAAACCTATTGTTAGTGATTATTTGGTAAGATGATACATATTTTCAGTTTTGAGATTTATGAAGTATTCTTTTATTAGTTGATGATTGATGAAATAACCACCTCTCCTTCCAGTTTGGCAACACATGCTACATCAACTCCGTACTACAAGCACTCTATTTTTGTAAGCCTTTCCGGGAAAAGATCCTGGAATACAAAGCCAAGAACAAGCGGACGAAGGAGACCCTCCTGGCCTGCTTGGCTGACCTCTTCTACAACATTGCCACCCAAAAGAAGAAGGTCGGCAGCATAGCACCAAAGAAGTTCATTGCCAGATTTAGGAAAGAAAATGGTGAGTGGTGGTGCTGCATTTCTTTCTTCTTTTGATTTTTCTTTATATCATTGTTGGATATATAGAAGGTCTGTTTTGTTTAGACCAATTTCTTTTATGTAGATTTTCAGTACTTTTTTTTTTTGTTTTGTTTTGGTAATTGGATTTTAATGTGTTGAATAGAGATTTTTATTGTCTTTGCAGGAATCATTCTTTATAAGATTATTTGTATATTTTTTTATTTGCCTACATTCATTCCACACTCACCAATAAGTATAATTCATTATCTAATTTAACTTTGTGATCATATAATAGTTATTGATTTGAGATTGTAAACCCTATCACTTTGTTGCAAAAATGGTGAATTTTATGTTTGAATCTTTCTCTAAGCACTGCTCACTTACTTGGAATTATTAGTCTTTTAATTCTATCTTCCTTCCAACAGTTAAATTTGATAACTACATGCAGCAAGATGCCCATGAGTTCTTTGTACAGCTCATAGACAGCATCAACGAGACTATCATGGGTGAGAGAGAGTCGTTTGTTTTCAGTAGACTGTTGTAAGTGCTTATCGACTTTTAAAGGTTAGGGAAAATATGAATGGCTGAAGAAGTTTACTGACTCTATTCACTAACTCTTGTTATGCCAAGTGACAGATGTAAATCTTAAACTTCTATTTTCTGAGTGGTTGATAAGGAAAGCCTTGTTTCTTGGCACTAGATTCATGGTTATTTGGCAGACAGTGGGGCCTTATGTCAAGAGACCTGCAATGGTATCTAATGCTTGATTAAGAATCACTGAAATATTGGCTCTTGGCTCTGTATAGGTAGTCAGTAGTTGTAGTCAATTAGTAGGCCTGCTTGACCTTACCTGTTTCCACTTTCTTTAAGTTTATAAGAAATATTTTTTTTCTAATGCTATCAGTATTGATGCTGTTGTTATTATTATTGACAACGTAATTGTTATGATATTATCAACAATACTTCAGCAATATCAGATAAAAAGAAATATTTCTGTAAACCAAGGAAAAGGGTTAGCAGGTGAGGTAGGTAGGACTACTGATTGATTCCTTTATAATTTAAGTGCTTATGGAGCCATCTGTATGTGAATAAAACTAATAAACTAAACTCAAGCATGTACAAGTACATACTTGCCTTTCCCATTGACAGTGGGTTAATGCTATGCATTAGATATAAGGGTATAAAGTTAAAGGGCAGTGAAATTTCTTTCTGGAACATTTTGCCTTTGTTAAAGTATTTGATGTGTGCATATCAGTACTAGATATTTTTAGAAATATTTTCAAACCATAACTGTAAATTTGATATACTCAAGTATTATAGATGTCTCGGATAAAGGAACTACTTTGACAGTTTCCATTATCTTGGTCCCTTTTTATTGAATCTTCTTGTATGTTGATTGTTTTCTTATTCTTCCCAGAGAAACAACAAGCGGGTCGAAATAGACAGCAAGGCGTAGAGAGTGACCAGCAGGGAGGTGTAGGGGGGCAGCAGGACAGCGGGGGAGGGGGGAACAACCAGCAGCAGGACAACACATGGGTGCACGAGATCTTTCAGGCAGTCGTCACCAGGGAACTCAAGTGCCTAAACTGTGAAGCTGTAAGTCCACTGAGAGCATTAAGGAATCAGTTTGTAGTCTATGTGTGTGTGAGGGATTGGGCATATTAGACCTTTGGGGGAACATTTGTTTTTGGCTATTCAAAATATTTAGCTAATTTAAACAATAAAGGGGTTATCCCCCCCTCCATTGATGGTTCAGTAGGGCAGTTATTCATTGACAGTAGCTACACCACTGTGAATGAATAACTAATGTTACCTTTTCAACTGTCTGTCTCTTCTATATATTTTGTTTTTAATTTAGGGAAGATATTCTTTCCATCATCTAAGAATGCTTTCTGTCTTATTTGATAAATAGCTAAAAGAAGCATTGTTTTTTCAAGAAATGTACATTATTTCAGTATTTGCTTCCTTTCAGGTACGAAGTACAGACGAGGTGTTAAATAACCTGTCGGTAGAGGTACATCAAAACACCAGCATTACACACTGCTTGCGGTGTTTCTTCTCCACAGAGACCATCAGTGCAGAGAACAAAGTACAGTGTGAGAATTGCTGCTCCCTCCAGGAACACCAAGTAAGGATGCTTGAGTTGAATGATGAGTGGTCCTCCGGCAGTTTGAAAGTGACAGTTCTGAGATGTCTCATGATATGAATATGGAGAGTATCATAAATTCACACATGATACCAATTAGTAGCCCTACATGACCTAATTTGATTTCACCTTTCCTTGAGATTTCAAGATTTTTTTTTCTAATGCTATTGATATTGAAATTGTTATTAATATAGTTAATATTATGATTACTATAATGCTATTAACAATGTAATAGCAATAAAGAAAATAAGGAATCATTGTGAAAATTAAGGAAACGGTAAACATGTTAGTGGGTAGGACTAGTAATTGACTCCTTAGTGGAGCCATTTATGTGTAAACACAACATACCTAAAAACTGCAGTGGACATGGCAGGCATTCTTGCCATCCTTTCATCATCGGATTGAAGAGAGTAAAAGTAAAACCATTTTTCTCTTAATTTTCCTATTTTTAAGTATGTTTACAGATTTAGAAAAATATTTAAAAACACTTCATGAAAGGTTCACAAATGAGAACCAGTGAAGATTAGGGAAAGGTTACGTTGACTAACTCAAAAGTAAAGTTTGGTTGGTGCAAGTAAGCTACATGGCTGTCACTTCTAGGTTTGTTGCCATCATCACCATTGTTATTGTGTTAATTACAAATACATGCCAGTGGCATCACCACCAAGCAAATTGACCATTTTTTATGCATTACAAGTTTTATTTAGTATTCATATTACCTTCTTTTGTTCAGAATCCATTTTCATTGCTGTCTATAATGTTTTTTATATATATATTTTTTTTCCTTAACAAACTTTAAAAAAAAGACAATATCTTGTCAGGGGTTCATGTTTGCTGGCAGGTATTGGGTCAGCTACCATTTCTTGGCTTTTAGATTTTAAAATGTTTTATTTTTTATCAGCATTATGTTCAGATTCTACATGAAGCAACTTCTTTTCAAAAATCATTTTTTGATATTTGTATATGTACACACATCCTTCAAAGGAGTAAGTGTCCTACCAGAGGTAACAGGAACATGTCTCCCCCCAGAAACGCACAAGGGTAAAGAAACTACCAACGATTCTAGTCCTTCACCTAAAGAGATTCCAGTTCTTAGGGCAGTACAACCGCACTCTCAAACTCTCGCACAGAGTAGTATTCCCTTTGGAGCTCAGGGTGTTTGATACGGTGAGTGGAGGCTTGCTTCTTTGATGCACCTACTTTACCTTCATTAATTTCCTTTCATATCAAGAAGAGATTTCAAGTAACTGTTTATTTGAATATATATTTATTTACTTCTTTAGAATGAACTCACTGTAGTAAAGTCTGCCATGTTTTAGATGCTGCTCACTTAGAAGACCTGCAAAAGTATTTCTGGCTTTTTCTTTTGTAAAGTTATGCTTTAGTGTTCATCTTCAAGCAGGCAAATGTTTGATCTGTTCTCATATACATGTTCTCTTCCAGAGTTCAGATGCTGTGAATCCAGATCGAATGTATGACCTTGCAGCTGTTGTTGTACACTGTGGAACAGGCATCAACAGAGGTCATTATATTGCTATTGTCAAGTCACACAGATTTTGGTTGCTCTTTGATGATGATGCAGTGGATGTAAGTAACACTTCTGTTGCTTCAGCAGTGATGATTTTTTTTAAGCATAGATTGTAAGAACTTCACTTCTTCCACGATTGGCTTGAGGGTACGGTCCATATCACAACCAGCCATGTTCATGAAAAGAGTTTATTCTATTGCTATTCTTATATTTATGAAAAGAGTTTTTATTCTATTGCTATTCTGGTTGTTATTAAGATTCTTACTATGTTTCTTGATTATTTATTATTATTATTATTTTTATTATTGTTTTTCTTGTTGTGACCACCATCATTATATTGTTATTAGTATTTGTATTTTTTCATTATTATTAGATTAGAATTAATAACTGTAATAATAATAAGAATGAAAACTTTTTCTGAAGAATGATGCAAATGGTCATGGTTAGGTAGCCCTTGCAATTGATACCTCTTTGACTTGTGGAGCCATCTGTGTGTGAAAAATAGATAGATCAATTGAACAAACCCATAATGGACAATGCATGTATACATGTACTCCTTGTGCTAACCTTTTGGATCCAGGTGCATTAGGCTTTCAAGTGTCTGCCTGAAACCTATTCCAAACAAATACTCATGTGCAGTGTCAAAACTCCTTGCTTCCTCTTTGAAATATCATTTTCTAATTTTCTGCATAACTATTTTTTTGCTTCTTTACTATTTGCCAATGTCTGTATTTATTGTTTGATATGTTTTATCAAGATGGTAATAGACTGTTTTCCTTACACAGACTCCATATCATCTCTATAGGTAGTCAACAACTCTGTACAGTAACAGTAATAATAAGCATCTTTTTGTTGTGTGTCATTTTAAAAAGATTTTCATAATATTCAATTTTTCATAATACACCATGTGCTGCCAGTCATGGTGGGTAGGAATAGGATCTTTAGCAAGAAAATAGTTTCCTCCCTTGAACTGGCACTCTTCCAGTCATGGCTGATAGAGGACATATTCTGCACTAGTTTACCAATCTGCATAATGCAAGAACCCCTTCCTAGATACCCACCGAGTCTAATCACCATCCATAACCTTTGTATACTCACTTGGTCAACTCTCATACCCTCAACCAATTTTTTTTCATGACAGTATGTTCATGCTGTGTCCTCCAGAACATAGGTTAAAACTAAGCTCATCCTCTCTTTTCTCATATACAGAAAATTGATCCTTCTGTCATGGAGGAATTCTATGGGCTCACATCAGAGATTCAGAAGTCATCAGAAACAGGCTACATCCTGTTCTACCAGGCCCGAGACCCAACGTAACTCCCACTTAAGTGCCCAAGCAGGCAAGAGTCCACAGGTCACGTCCAGCCGAACCTTCGGAGGAGACTGACAAGGGGAAATAGTCACTTGACGAGCAGAGAGGACTCGCGTAGAGAGGAGCTCGTGCTGGCGGTTCAGTCTAGTTGTGTATTTACATGTATTGATCTAGTTCAGGTTTTACTCTAGGATGAATGCACCTTATGTATATTTGTATTTGAAGACTTCGGGAGTTATTTCGCAGATGTTATTATTGTAATGTATTATTGATAATGTGCACTTGTATATAAGAGTTTATAACAGAGATACTTTACAGTCTATGGCAAAGGCTCTTGGGAAAAAAGTTTGTATATTGTAGACACTTCAGGATGTTTCCTTTCCAAACTTGGCTATTTCTTTCTTTTAAATGTTTTTTAAATTGTTGTCTTGAATCCCTCATTGTTAATTCTGAGCTTGTATGAAAAAAAGAAATTCAAATTTCTTTTATTTATTATTTTTAGATTTTGCTCTAAGCAGTCCAGGATGTTAATGGTTTGTACAGCAATGTAAACCATCTGTTCCCCCCGGCACTTTGCTGCACTACAATCAGAAGCGTTTTAGAATGCGATAAGTTGTTTATTATTTTCATTTGGAAGCCTTTCTTTTATTTAGACATTCACCCTGATGAGAGACCTGGCAGGGCCTAGATGCCGAGGGAAGGCACGTTGTACAAAACCCGAGATGCACAGCAGTTCCATCCAATACTAGTTGAAATGGTGTCAGAGGCAGGATTTTGTTTCAATAACTATTGTTATTGTTGTTGTTGTTATCATATTGCTTTCATTATTATTATTTTTATTATTGTTATTATCATTATTATTATTATTATTGTCATTAATGTTATAGTTATTGATATTATCATTATTATTATTATTATTATTATTATTATTATTATTATTATTATTATTATTTTATTATTTATTATTTATTATTATTATTATTATTATAATTTTTTTTTTTATTACTATCATTATATTATTATTATTATTATTATTATTATTATTGTTGTTATTGTATTAATGTTATTATTTTTGTATTACTTATGTCATTATTGTTATTATTATTATATTATTATTGTTATTATTATTATTATTATTATTATTATTATTATTATTATATATTATTTATTATTATTATTATTATTATTATTATTATTAATTTATTATTATAATTATTATTATTAATATTATTATTATTATTATTATATTGTTATTTTATTATTATTATTATAAATTGATATCATTGTTTTTTTTTTTTTGCTTTATTATGATTGTCTTTATTGTTGCAGTGTTGTTACTGCCATTTTTATTTTTACTATTATAGTTTTTCCTTTACTGATATTTTTCTGTATTGTTTCTGTTATCTTTATCATTATTCCATTTATTAGTTTTGGTTTTGCTAATCCTTGTTGATATAGATAGTTTTCTTCTTTATATTTCTGTTATTACTATAATATTCTTGATGATATTATTATTGTCATTTTTGCCATGGTTGATGTTGGTATTAATGTTATTATTATTACTATTATTATTGTTATTATTATTATTATTATTATTATTATTATTATTATTATTATTATTATTATTATTATTATCTTTAATCATCATCATCGTTATCATTGTTATTGTTATCATTTCTTGTATTTATTTCTCATTATTTTTATTATGGTCTTATAATTTTTTTCTATCATTAATAACATTATCATTGACATCATTAGTTTCCATTATCCCTACATTGTCATTGCCATAATCATCATTGTCACGATCATCGCCAGATACCACTATTCTCATCCTATTTTGACGCAAAGGGAAGTGCTTGCAAGCAATATCTATCTTTATCAGTGGCTGAGATTTCTGGTAAAGTAAAAGTCTTTTCATAAGACTTGGCTCGGAGACTTTAGCACTCTTCCTCTCTTCGTTCAACTCTTGACTTGGTTGCAAGGAGAAAGGGCTCTTCACTGTTTTTTCCATTTCTCTAGACAAGCAAAAAACATGCACACACAAACACAAACACACACCTATAGATGATTCTCTCTCTCTCTCTCTCTCTCTCTCTCTCTCTCTCTCTCTCTCTCTCTCTCTCTCTCTCTTATATTCACACATATCCTTACCCATGGGTCTCTAGGCCAGTCTGCTTCCAGTGAGGAGGTCACGGAACTCCCTAAGGCTATGTCATCCGCATGTGAGTGTTTTGGTTATTGGTTTTATTATCCCTGTGATTGTGAAGGCAGTTGCTATCATTCTTATGATCTGTTATTTAATTATTTTTTCTTGTTTATATGATTATTTATTCTTAATATAATTAATTTACTTCGCCACTATAGTCTTCTTATTATTGATGTTATTATGATTATCATTATTATTGTTGTTATTATTATTATTATTATTATTATTATTATTATTATTATCAATTATTTTTTTATTATTTATCATTATTTATGTTTGTTATATATTCTATTTCACCAGAACGTAAAATTAGGAACTTTTATTTTTTTACCTTTATTGTGGTTCCTTAAGTTTAATTTTGACATTATTATTATTATTATCATTGTTGTTATTGTTATTATTATCATTGTGTTTATTATTATTATTATTATTATTATTATTATTATTATTATTATTATTATTAATTTTTTTGGTCATTACTATTATCAAGACTATAATCCCCATTATTATTATAGTGGTGGTTTTATGTTAGTATTGTCATTTTTAAAAATTCTATTAACACAATTTGCATTTTGACTGTCAGTGACATTAAGGTTTGATAAGAATTTCATGATCATTATCAGCCCCACTCCACAGCCATTAATATAGATGCTTGTGATCACACAGAAATGGTCAAAAGAAGCTGCAGTTTCCTAAGGAGTTTTGAATATTGAGGAGTTTATTTCTTTGGCTATTGGGAGGATGAGCATGACCCCTGCCAGTCTAACTTCTGTGATATTATTATAATTATTATTTTACAGACTTCCAGGGTCATGATCCTGTCACTAGTGATCAGCTGAACCTTTTTCAGGGCAGTTGTACCATTTTCTATATATTTCCCACTGTTATTCCAACACAGTTTATTGTATAAAGCTGTTGAACAGTAAGAAAAAATTACTCTTTCTTGTAGTTTCATTTTTTACCAACACTCCTCTTTTATTGTAAGGAAAGTTATGAATGGTTAATGGTTAAAAAGGAAAAATAAATGTGCTAGACATCTAAGGTCATATAACATCATAGGAAAGTATATTAAAGGAAGAATGAAGGGTGATAGTTGCTATGCGTCAACTATCTAGTGATCCTGAAAGGGTAAAGATGGGTAAAGAAGTTGTATGAATAGGTTATGGTAGGTTTAGGTGAGGGAATTACGTAAGTGATTCACGTGTGTATCCAGGAGGGAGTGGAAATGATAGAGGGGATGGTGGGAGGGAGAATGTATGTATAGTTGGAGTTGATGGGGGTGGGTTGCATTGGGAAGTAAGTAGGAAATAGAAGTAGGAGGAAGTGATGAAGGGGGAACAAGGAGGATGGATATCGGTAGGGAGGAGGGGAGAGGATGGATATCAGTAGGAGGCGGAATTGAGGGGGTCAGGTTGTGTTGAGAGGGAGTAGGAGGGAGGGATGTTGGGGGAATATGAGCAGCAGGGGGATGAATATTTGCAGTCACTTAGAGTGTGGAGGGATCATGAGTTGTGGAATTTTTTGTCTCAAGTATATAGTTTTGGATATCTTCCATAGTTTCTGCAGTGGAGTTAGTTGGAGAGTTCTGTGAAACAATGGTTCTCTGAGGGGAGGAAGAGGAGACTGATGTTTGAGGAATGAAGGTAAAGGTAGGTGAAGGTCAGTGTGCAGTAGAGGAAGAAGGGGTGGAACGTTTAGCCTGTGAGAGCCACGTTAAAAGGACTTTGTACCTCAGGGGAGCCATGATAATGGTAATCCCCTGTATAGTTATCTAGCCCTTACCCCTCAATCTGTGGGGTGAACCAGCTTTCCCTACCCCCCCAATCCCTTGCCTGTTGTTGTTGTGGGGGGAGCTTAGGAGACATAGACTGAGGCCCAATGCAGGGATCTCCCCTGCCTAGGGCCTTAAATCTTGACTCAACTAATATTGTAGTCTTTTCTCCTTCCAGCTCTTTTGTTTCTGTCCCTTCTCCAACCTCTTCTAGTATGTACTTCCTAAGGTGTAAGAGCCGTGCTGAAATGATGAAAGACTGACTTTGTGCCAGTCCTGAACAGCCTGAAGGAACCATGGGCATGGTATTCCCCTGTTTTGTTGTTTAGCCCTTACCCTTGAAGGGGACCCTGAGGTCTGTTTATTTTCCCAACATAGTCAAGACTTCCCATGGCCAGTAATGAATATGTAATACCCTTATTAATGGCAATGAGGTTTGCACCTTCATCAAAGAGCCCCACCAATCCAAATTCTCCTGGCTCCCCAAACCCAGGCTCTCCTTTGACCACAACTCTGAACACTACAAGTACTACCCACTCCTCAATGCCTACTAGCGCAACTTCCTCAACTTCATCACCTCTACCCCACAGCCTTCTTCACCAATCACCTCATCCTACCTTATTACTAACTTACAGCCTCATTCTCCCCTTCAACAATACTCCCTCTTCCACACATTCCTGTCCTTCTACCACCACTGACCTCACTGGCAGAGTTATTCCTGCTGAGCCTCACTCCTTCCTTAACATTTGTACTGGAATGGTTTCCATCTCCATGGTGGATCACCCTGTATATGACAAGGATTAGTCACACTGTGAAAATGACCTGCTCACCTGCCTGATTGCTCATGATATAGTGGCAGCACAGTGCTACACTATTCCTCCTAGAGGCCAGCAAAGTCTTACACTAATATTGTCAAGATTAGCTTCTGTAGACATGACCTTCCCACATTTTATATTTGCGGAGAGTCCTGCCCTGTCTGATCATATTGACTTCTACCCCATCAATGTCAGAAAAGCTGATGCTTTGGCCACCCTGCTAAGCACTGTTGCTCCACAGCCTGATGCCCTCTATGTGCCCAACCTGGCCATGATAGTTCAAATTGCTCTACACAATCACATGTGTGGAATTTGTGGTGGCTTGATAAGCTGTCAGTCCAAGTCTGAAGTAGCAGTTCACAGATTCAATCTAGGAAGCACACTGACAAGGTTTTTCTCTTGCTACCTGTTCCAACACTGTCCTTTACTCAGCTCCTTTCCCTATGTCCCAAGGTTTCTCAGCATTTCCCACGGTATATGTACTCCCAATCCCATACCATCCTACTTCTACATCTACCTTCTCCCAGCCAAATTGTTTTGCTATTCTAAATCCAGATACTCCAATCTCTACCACTTCCCTAGTGCCTCTTCCTCCTCCTCACTTTACCTGTCGCATCAGCCAATCTAGATGTTCCACCCCGTCTTCCCCTACCACCTTTGCAATACCTTACTCGTTGTTTTTGTGGTGGCCTTAGGAGACAGAGACAGGCCCAATATAGATCACCCCTACCATGGGCCTCAGCCCTTACTTCCACAAATTTTGCATGGTCTTTTCTTCTCCCCCTCTCCTTTTCCATATCTTCTTCCCTTTCTGTCCCATTCCTAAGGTGTGAGTGCTGTGCAGAAAGGATGAAAGGCCTGGCTTTGTGTCAGTCATGGGAACCCTGAGGGGTAGACTGCTTCTTTTCCCCATTTTATTCAAGCTCACCATGGTCAATAAAGATTCTTCACCCTTAATAGGGGCATTAAGGCTTGCCCCTTCACCAACTAGCCTATCTGAATTCAATTTTGATAGTTTTCTGACCTCTGCCCTTCCTTTGACCATGCCTCCGACCACTGATACTAATACCCCCTCCTCGACGTTTACTGACAACTCTATCCAGTCCGAACCATCCATCCAGGTTATTACTCAACCTCCAGAATGTACCCCTTCCTCTCTCCAAACATTCTCATCTCCATCTCCTATTGCACACTCTTCAATGTCTAGCCCTCTTCTCTTATTACTACTCTTCATCCTTATCCCCCCCCCCCTCCCCACAGAACTACTGCACTCCACACCACCCATCTTCTTCCCGCCTTTTTCCTTCTACTGCCTCTACCTCTGCAAACCTTGAGTTCTCTCTTTGGCCCAGCCAAGTGGGGATTGATTCTTTGTGATTTCCCCCACAGCCCCATACTCTAAGAATACCCTTCTCTTTCAATGGTGTCTCCAAAAACAAGTAGGCAAAGTTACCTTTAGCAGTTGCTCCAATCGTTCATGCCTTGTCACAGTTACATCTGAATCCCAAGCTCGTACCCTATCGACCTTAACTGACCTTACTGGTAAACCCAATCCTGTCAAACCTCACTCCTCTCTTAATACTTGTACTGTAACATATCTATCCCCCCAACTGCTTGTCCGACCTACAAGAACTGGTCAGTCTGTGAAAATGACCTACTTACATACTTTGCTGAATATGATGCGATGGCAGTACAGTGCTACACATATTCCTTCCCATGTCAGTATTGCCAAGATTAGCTTCTGTAGACATGACTTCCCCCATGAAGTTTATACTGGTAGATTGTTCTACCATGTCTGACCCAGCCGAATACTGTCACTCTACAGTTTACTGTCCTCTATTTGCCCAGCCTGATCATGACTGTTCAAATTGCCCAGCTTAATCACATACATGTACCAATTGAGGTGACTCCAATAATGTATTTTATTGGAGCTGCCATGCTCAAATGTGATATTATTAACTTTATTTTATTAAATTATGATGATTATTATTATTAAATGTGAGGTTATTAAATGTGAGGTTCTTAGATTCAAACTAGGCCTCACTCTACATGAAGCTAGACGGGAAGCACGACAACAAGGTTTTTCTCTCTCTACCTATTCCAAAACAATCCTTCGCTCTTCTCCTCCCTTCTCCACAAGATGTTTCTGCATCTCCCCCCTCTACCCTGAAACTATCCAACCTCTACTCTCCCTATCCCCCAGTCAAATCTCTTTTCCATTCTAAATCCAGTTCTCTGATGCCAACCCTTCCTCCCCCTCACTTTGCCTGTTGCTCCAGACAACCTAAATGTTCTACTCCATCTTTGCCCCTCTTCTCCTCACAAGAGATCCTTTGTTTCACAGACCTCCCTGCCCGAATACCCTCAAGAAACTCAAGAAGACATCCAAAAAATCCTAGACATGAGCCAAGAAAATGCTCCACTCCCTCATCCACTCTCCAATCCTGCTATTACTAGTCCCTCTATATTTAAAGTATTTGCAGATATCCATCCTTCTCCGCAAGTTCCCCCTACACCTCTTCCTCCTACTCTTTCCCAACACACCCCATCCTCTCCTTTTCCATGTGCACCATTCCCTTTTTGTTTTCCATTACCCTTACCTCTCCCACCAGCACACTCACATGAATCCCTTATGTCACAACATTGTCCTCCAGATTCCATCTCCACCTAATGCTCTTCCTGATACTTCACCTCCTTCTCAAGTTCCCTCATCTCATCCCCGAGACTTCTGCTACTTCTTTAACAGCCATCTCTACCCATATTACTGGCTGATTATTTCATAATGGCTCTTTTACCAATTTTTCCTTAAAGCAATGTTCTTATAGCTTCCACAGCAACTGATACACCTCATTCCATCCAGTCGCCCTATACCCTTAACCCTTCCCTTTAATAATCTCCAACTTTCTTCATTTGCACCCCCCTTTACCCATTTATGTATCATACAATCCTATAACACTATAACCATTAACATATAACACTCTTTATCCTAATCATTAACTCATTTACCCTTTTCACCACAATACTTTACCATAGTGCTATATGTCTAGTACATTTATTTGTTTCAACCATTAACCATTCCTCTACCACATTCTCTCCAACACTGCCCTCTTCCTCTACCACTCGGTCATTAATCACTTCTCCGTAAGAAATTCTTTGTTTCTCAGACCTCACCACCAAATGCCCATCCAAAAGCTCTTAAAGACATCCAAAACTTCTTAAACACGACCCAAGAGAAAGCTCATCCCTCATCTACCCACCAGTCTTTCTTCTCCCATTCCTTCTACTATCAGAATAACTCACAACATACATCCTCCTCATGTTCCCCCTACCACTCTTCCTCCCATTCTCTACCAAAGCACATCCTTCCCTTCTCCATCTGCACCATCCCCCTTCCTTTTGCTCCCTCCTGGATGTCTGATAGGGTTGAACAGGGCAGGACTCTCAATATAAGTTCTTGGGGGAGATCATGTCTACTTAAAGTAGTCTTAGCATTATTGGTGTAATAAATATGGTAGTCTCTGGGAGGAATAGTGTAACTCTGTAATGATACAGTATCATAGGCCTACTCAAGGAGGCCGGCAAGCAAGAGGTCATTTTCACAGTCCTTCTAATCCCCGTTGTTGTCTTAATTAGTACAAGATATGAATGCAACTGTGGAAAGAAACTGCCTACTTGTTCTTCAAGACACTGTTTGAGAAGGAAAGTACTGTCAGAGTAAGGGGCTGTAGGAGGGAGTCACAAAGAATTAATTCCTGTTCGCCCTAAAGGTTTGTAGAAGCTAACGTAGTAGAACAACAATGATTGGACGAAGAGAGAGTGGTGGTGTCAATTGATTTTATTTATTTATTAAAAATTTTCTGCTGCATCAACATCTAACATCATCAGCAGTGTTTACAAAATATAGCAATAGGGGGAGGCTTAGAAGTGAAGCCAAAAGATAAGGAAAGGTCACACAGCACTATGATAAAGTATTGTGGTAAAAAGCTTAAAAATAAGTTAACGATTAAGACAAAATAGGTTAGATGTCAAGGATTGTTGAATGCTATTAGTATGTATGGTAGTGAAATGGGCAAAGAGGAAATAGCAAATGGATTACGAAGGCCATTCATGACTGACAAAGCCAGTCTTTCATCCTTTCAGCACGGCTCTCACACTTTAGGATGTGGACAGAAAGGGATGAAGAAGAGAAAAAGGAAAGAAGAAAAGACCATGTAAAATCAGTTGAGGCAAGGGTTAAAGTCCAAGGCAGGGGTGGTTCTTCACATTGGGCCTCAGTCTCCATCTCCAAAACCTCTCCCAAGATGGTAATGAATTTTTTTTTTTTTTTTTTTTTTTTTTTTTTTTAGTAGTAACAAGGCAGGAGGGGGCAGAAAATGAAGAAGACTGTAGGAGGAGATGGTGTGGATGATGTTGGGAGAGAGGAAGTGGTGTATTCTGAAGGTTGAGTAATAGCCTGGGTGGATGATTCAGAATGGATAGAATTGACAGCAAGTACCAAGGAAGGGGTAGTAGTAGCAAAGGTCAAAGTCATGATCAAAGGAGAGGCAGGGGTCAAGAAACCAGAGAAATTAAATTTGGATAGGCTAACTGAAAAAGGGGCAAGCTTCAATGCTCCTGATAATGGCACAAAATTTTTCATTATTGGCCATGGCGAGTCTAAAATATGTAGGGAAGAGAAACAGCATACCAAGGGACTACCATGCCCATGGCTCCATGAGGCAGTTCAACACTTCTCCAATTCCTGTCCACTTCCTTAAGTGTAAGAAGAGAAGAAAAAGTTAAGGGAAAGGAAGAAAAAAAAGGTAGGTTGAGCTGAGTTGGGAGGGGGAGGGGGGGGGGGTTGAAGGTTGTAAAAGTTCATGTGGAAAAGAAAATCTAAACAGGTGGTATTGGTTCTCTGGCTTCTATTATTTATTATTACTTTTAATAAGCCATCATAGAGTGTAAATATTATTATTTTCGTGAGTCTATATGTAAAATGGTTACTGTAATGAAGATAAAAAGATTGAGAGAGTGGGCGCATTAACCATTAAAGTTATGAATATTTCAATGCGCCCATTAAAGTTATGAATATTTCAAACACATTTTGTGGAAAAGATTTTATTACAAGAAACAGGTTAACTGTGAACAAGGGAGTCAACATGTTTTTACATGAATTTAGAAATTAAAAAAATAATAATTACAGATTCCGGCAATGAAATAAATACATCAAAAGTCACACTGACAATATCTACAAGATTTGTATATTCATGAGCTTATAAAATCAACTGCCCTAGCCTACATGAACAATGATTTCTTAGGGTAATATATGAAAGATTCTTTCCTGTCAGACCTTGAAAACCATTAAAAAAAAGCCTAGAACAAAAATACAATAAACTCATAATTTGAAAGAGCACTGAACCAGTAAGAATTTTGGAAAAAAGAAAACGGAAAAATAGAGCATTAATCTGGTTGTTGCATTTGCAAGATTTGTGATACTTCAATTCCAATTATGATTTGCTTTTTAAGTCAATTTATCTCATTACATGTCTTTGTTAAACCAGCTCAAACTATCACTTTCAGTAGCCACTCTAGCCAAAAACTTAAATTTAATAATTTTTTAAAGCTGTATAAAATAGATTTAGAAAATATACTCCTTCCAAAATAGACTCCCTTTTCAAAATAAGAACAGCAAAATCCTGAATATTTTTTTCCTTTTTTTTTGTTGGGGCATCAATTTTTGATGACAGATTTCCAAGACCCCTTCACCATTACAGGCATTACTAAATAATTCCAGCCACACAGAAAGCAAGCTCTGCCCATTCTGTCAGACATCAGTGTATGATCCACTTCCCTGCATTACCCAAAATAATTTTTAAAAATTGAAAGGAAAAAAAAGGAAAGGAAGGGAAAAAAAAACTAAATATTTGAATTTATCCTTCTGATTACCATTTGAGGACTCATTTTCATACATATATTTAGAAACACTAATTCCTTTCTGATCAGAATAATAGTACATTACTTAAACATTACAAATTCCCTTAGTAACTACGGCCTTGTGTGTATTCTGAGGGGAAGGCCAGCTTGTAGACCCCTGTGCCACTCCAGGTGGGCAGTGTACCCGCAATGGGAATGATGTTCCAGGACAGGTACAAGCTCACATTCTTGTGCCCACTGTGAATAAAAATAGTTGAAAATAATTACCTTTTCTCTGTATGAGAAAGCAATTTTTGAACAGAATGAGTGTGGTATGTCTACTGATGAGTATAACAATTAAGAAACATACTTGATATTTAAAGATTGGGACATTTTTTAAATTTCTGAATTACAAACTAGATGACAGCTCTACAAATTTGTTTTTATTACAAAAATTCTGGATACCTGTGCAAAAAATGAGATTCAGCTACTTACAGGAGACCATTTCCATCATCCCAGAAATAGTATTTGAGGTGCTGGTTCTTGAGTTTGACCACTGAAGCCTCTCCTCGCTGGATAATCTTGTCCCATAACACCACCTGCAAACCATGAACATTACACAAATTTTGTAGATTTTTCATAAATTTACAAGATTTCCTTCTTTTACAATTATCCTTATGATATATTTATAAATATGAACAAAAAGTACATATTCATACATGACATCCTCTATTCATATATTTACAAATATTTATGAGATAAATTTCAAGTTCCAAACTGACCTGATTCACTTTATTATTCTGAGTCTGATACTCAGCAGTAAGGTAGAGGAAGAGCTGCTTTGTGTTCCAGTTGAACAGAGGTGTCAGATCGGTATTCAAGTCAAAGCGCAGGGCTCCCAAGTCGTTCTTCTCTCGAGAAACTGCATACTCTGGCACATTCTTCCTATTTACAAAAGAAAAAGGTTTGATAATCTCTAGATGAAAGAAAAAGAAAAGGAAAAAAATCAGTCATTGTTCCTCCTCTTCTGTCTTTTTGCTATATATAATGAGTTCTAATTCCTTCTCATCCTTTCTAACCTTATTGCTTTGTCCCTAATAGCAGAATAACTCTTCCTCACACTTGACAAATAATTCAATCATATAACAAAGCCTTACAAAACAAACTAATCTTGAATTCCATTCCCATAGTATGTCTGAAAGCCATTCATTACTCTACCTGGGATTTTTTTCTCTCTTACATTGTTTTCATTCTACAGAGCATAAAATGGCCTTTCATACATTCAACTACAACAACAGCAGCAAAATCTTCACAGACTTTTCTTATTGTTAAATTATACAAGTTCTATGAGTACTTCATGCAATTCGACATGGCATTTTGTCTACATCTAATTGTGATGTCAAACAAGTGTTATTGCTATTATCAGAGAAAAACAAGCTCCCTCTAACAAGCTGATGACTCTGTCCCTAGTAGGAAGCAGCCCTATCTGCAACTTGCTCCAGTACAACCATGGAATCTCAATCCACCTTTAATCTTATCAAGAACATAAAGGGTTCAACTGCAAAACTGTACATTTGTGACACTACAGCTCTGTTAGTGTAATGTCAAAGGGCCAAGAAACATCAACATGTATATCCTGGCAGGATACTTATTTGATACCTCTCCAAGGTGTATCATCAACATACCCCATAACACAGCCAACAAAGTTTTCTACAATGGAATTTCTTTATGGCACGTTCATGCAAGTTCTACTGAACTTTGAATCAAATCAATTGCTGCAAAAAATAATAAAGAATAAGTAAAATGACTCTCAAAGATATCATCTCAGCATTTGGGATGATGTAACAGGATGTAGATAGAGGACGTGACAAGAATACTTCCGTGTATAACTACGTGACGTAAAAGTTGACTATAAGAACCGCAACTAATCTGCACTGGGCCACTGCGGTAAGATAGGGCCCATCATGATATACAACTCGAAGCAGCATTAAGAACAATGTGGAAAAGTCTGGAAGGCTTTTGTCCAACAACAGATGTTAAAAAAAGGCTGAGAATAAAATAAAGGATTTCATTCCTGTGTAAATGGGTTAAAAATGCTAAAAATATCTGTTGGTAACTTGCTGGTTCTTTATCAACATTTTGACAACTAACTGAAAGGATCAATGACAGCTTTTAGCAAAATTCTGTCTCAAAAGGGTATAGTTTCTGTTTCACACAATCATATGGTGCAAGGTAAGCTTTACCTATAATATACAGAATGATAAAATTATGATACTTTTCATCTATGGTATTTCTTTAACAATTTGAAAACAAGATTTGTACTTTCATATCAATTTACAGGAAAATCTAATGACACCATCATAGAGAATTAAATACTACTCACTGATACATGAAATCATCTGCACACACTAAGACTTACATTGGAAATTACAAAAACAGGTCATGACCAGCAATCGGGTGGGGGTCTGAGGGCAGAACCCAGGTAAAGAAATACAGTGATCAGCTCTGAAGCCTCTGGGATGAAGCCCAATGGTTTGGAAGGTTTTTGGTTTATATTGCAATGTTCCCCAGGAGTGGCTGGATTAATAGGGACTTTAGTCTCAGGTGTGTGTGTGGTCACTTCTTACACAATTACTGATAATTTCACACATATCATTTGTGATGGAAAACAACAGAGATTCAAACATACTACATTCTGAAAAATTGAAACAGACCGATAATTG